TCCGTGCCGCACGGAGCTCCTGCAGCCTCCCCGCTGTGCGGGCCGGCCGGCCGGGGGGCCGGGGGGGCGCCTTTCTTCACCCCCGCCCCCTGCCCGCCCCGGGAGCCCCGCGCCGGGAGCCCCGCTGGCCTCCGCCCCCGCCGCCGCCCCACGTCCCTGCGGGCTCTTCCAGAGGGGCCGCCCCTCCCGGGGGTCCGCGCAGGCCTCCGCCCGACCCTCGTGGCTTCCACAGGCCCCGGGGCAGCTTCTTCCTCCGGGGAACGGGGCAGCTCCCGAAGGGTCCTGCGGGGCCAGGGCACCGAGGTGAAGGAAGGTGCCGGGTAGTGGCACGGCAGAGGACAGGAGGGAAGGGGTGACGGCGTTGCCGTAGCTGACCGAGATGCTGCGCAGTGCAGGAGATGGGTTTGCGGCGCTCGGTTGGGCTGGGAAGCGCCTCGGGCGAGAGTCGGGGTGAAGAAATGCGCCCTTGGGGCGCCCTGGCCGTGCTGCTGGCACAGCGGGGAGGCTGCAGGAGCTCCGTGCGGCACGGAGCAGCACTGTCCTGCGAGGAGCTGCACCCAGCCCAGGGCCAGCGGCGTGATGTGAAGCCGCGTCGCTAAACCCGAAGATCTGGGTTTGCGTTAAGCAGTGCTTACATTGCACCCTGTATCCCAGCTATTATTCGAGTGAGCAGAGCTTCTCACATGCAGCCTGTAGAGAATAAACTTGTGGTCATCATGGTTTGTGGGCATGGCTTTCTAGGTAACTACACCAATGAGAATAACTGGGGAAAGACGAGTTTTCTGGTGCTCATCCCCTTCTTTGGGACCTTTCCATGTACATCTCTAAGGATCTCTGGGGATGAACAGTGACTTTCAAGTTTGTTAGACAAGGAAGTGGTGGATGGCCAAGGGAGAGAGGAAAGTCACAGGTACTTCGAATATGAGTTTGGAAACAGAACTCTCAGCCACACAGGAATACATCCCCTATGAAATGCTTTGTGAGTTTAAAAAAGTTGTATAGGCAAAATACCTCCTAAACTTCCTCCTTCCTTTGTGCATCAATGTGATCCATAAGAGCAATGCTGCATGGGCTCGGAGGGGTTTGCTGGTAACAGAGATGTGGCATTCCTGACCTGCTGAACAAATACCAGCCATATTCTTTGGGTTGGATCTGAACAGTGAAAGCATCAATGTGGGAGAATCCAAGTGAAAAAGCAAGGCTTGTGTCTGGTAGGGAGCACCCCTTGGGTTCTTCCAGGACATGGGAGACACACGGAGTGCATGAACTATTTACATTCTTTGGAAATACTACACAGGCTCAGAGGAGTTCTGCTCTGGGATCTTGATTTCCGTCTGGGAGGACTGGTCAGGGACTCTCCGAACTCAGTGTTTACAGAGAGTGTTTACCTACCTGGTACTAAAAAACCCTGCCCACAACTGTTGCCACCTTTTTGATCTTTGAGATGAGGATGTTTACCTGCAGCTGCTATTCATCCCTTGCCATAAGGCCCAGCCGTACATAGTGTTTTCTTTACATGCGGTGCTCTGCTTCAAATGCAAGGCCTGTAGCTTCTCATGGCAACAGAAAGAGTTGCTGCTTGAATATTTTCTCTGTAGTAGAGTTAATCACCCATAAACTTTACAGCATGAGGCATCGAAGAATGTTTTGCCTCCTAGTAACTGAAAATTAAAGGCATTGCAGAGATTAAAACCTTTTCAGACGCTGAAAGACTTAGGATGGCACATAAGGACTCAAGTCAGTCAAGTGTTTTGCTGAGTTGACAGAAAGAACCAACTTCCTCATTAAACCACAGCCGCTGGCAGAGGAGTTTCACTAACAGGTGTAGTAACTGAAATAACTTCAGGCAGACATCTCTGTGAACAACAGAAAACAAATGAGCAGTGTCCCTGTTACTTTGCTAAACCAACGTCAAAGCTGAGGAAAAGGTTTTGGTTGCAGAGATATCATCATGACTATTTTTGGTCTCGTTTAATTTTTCATTCATTGAACATTTCCTTTATAAATAGTTTCAAAGATGGTTTGCTGTTGGTATATTCATTCAAGACTTATTTATATTATTTGATCTTACTGAGAAATAAATAACATTCCTTCATTGCAAATAGCATATAATTACCTACTTAACAATTTTAAAATGGAAAAAATACAACATTCTGTCTTCCCTGGTGGAGGAGTGGTTCCTTCATTTAGATTATAGGGTTTTAGATTTTGTCTGTGAATGTACTATGATTATAGATGCAGAAAACAATTGAAGTCAAAATATACACGTTTTGTATTCCATTATGAGGATTGTGGTTGCTTCTACTGCTGCAGTATCTGTGGGGAGCTGCAGCCAGAGCTGGAGTTTTACTGTATTGGATTCAATGTAGACGTAGGAAAGAGCCCTGAAAGAAGTCTTTTTCTCTCAGTGCAGAACTTAATTTAAAATGTGATGAGCGTCTGCTGAATTCCTAGGCCTTGCAGTTCCATTTTCCCATTATAGGTAAACGTTGTGAAAAGTCAAAGCTGTGGGGAGAGCATGTGTCTGGTGAAGTCTGCAGGCATGTGACTGGCAAGAGCAAACTCTTGCTGAACTGTTTGCTAAACAGGAGACATGTTGAATGAGGAAGGCAATGTGAGATACTGCATGTGCTGTTTTGTTTGATCCATTCCTAGAGATTGTGAAGCAGCCAAGGCTGGAGATGGACCTTATGGGGTGTCATTTCATAAGTTGTGTGCCATGGATGTGAATATATCTCCATTGCAAATCCATACCTGTGATGTAATGGAGAGAGATTAGGCAAGGACTGTGCTTTTGCAAATTAGAAATATAAATCTATCTTGGGGCTTAAAAATGAGTTCCCTGAATAGATGACCCAGGTTAATAATGAGCTGGAAGGAAGGAAAGAAGAAAGGAGGGGAAGGAGGCAGATTAATATCCAACATTTGTTGGTAGTGAGGCTGCTGGCCAGCGTTCCTACTAACAAAACCAGGGTGGAATGAAAGAGCAGGATACCCTACTCAAATGTATGTAATGTAGTCACTGCATATGAAGAGACATGCTTGATTAAGCGTGATGCCTTATCCGCAGGTGCATCTCATCTCATAGCAAATGAAACTGTCTGGTTGGAGTACTGGGTGACTGGAGCATGCAAGGGAAGGAACTCAAAGACGTGGGTTGGTTGTGCAACATTTTTGATTGAGGGGTCAGAAAGTAACACATTAAACATCCTATTGAAGTCCCATGACAGTACCAGGTACTGAGAGAAAAGCCAGAGTATCCTCCTTCCTTTCTGTAACACAGCTGACTTCAGAGTTATACCAATTCAATTTGGGAATAAGCAAGAACAGATTTTAAGTCTTAGTCTGTTAAGTGCTTGGAGGTATCGTTTTTTTGTTACATGTGCACACACAAGTTCAAGTCATTATTACAATCTAATTATTTACTTAAAAAATTATCAAGATCCATGGTTTTGCAGACTGTAGTCAGCTCATTACTGAGCCATTAAGAAACTGGTTCCAGCAGCAGGACTATTAATGAGCTTGCTTCAAGTAGTGTGTGCCTTGTGATTACTTGGCTCTCTGCCTCAGTTTAATTAAGATTTTAAATTTACATACTACTATTCAACCATATGTTGCCCTAGTGTTTACAAAGGTGAATAGATTCTATTGTTCACATTTTATAGGTCAAGCCACGGTGTCATTTTGGGGTCAAGGGACAAGACTGAAGCCACCTATCCCCTGAAGCAGTCTGAATCTGTTGCTCAACCTGCAGGGTGGCATTTCTTCTGTAGAGCTGAGAAAATGATTGGGTAGACATTGACAAACATGGAATAAAGTAATCATGATAGTAGTATTTAGTAGAACTGTAGTACCTGGTTTAATGTATTAATTGAGATTCACAACAATCACAGAAAAGCTTCCTATCTACAGAAGTACAGTGGCCTATTAAAGAACTTACCTTTGACAGGAAACTGATCAAAATATTTGAAGTGGTTTCTCAGAGTCTTAAAGAAAAAAAAAGATAATTACATAAGAAGAAACACTATTGTTCCTCCTGTCTTACACTGTCTTTGTATTATCAGCAGTTATTTGATGTTCTAATCTTGCAAGTCCTGTGAATACGAGCAGTCATGAGTAGCATGAGCAAAGTTTGCTGAAACAAATGAGCCCGGAAAGGTCAGATCCCTGCCTTGAATAAATAGGTATAGATGATAATATTTCTGTTTAATCTCCTAGGTGTGGTGTGCTGCATAGAAATGCAGCAGCTCTTTTGTGACGCTTTGGGTTTTTTTATTAATTTTTAAATAAAATGTCCTTCTTGCTGTTTCCCAGCTGTGTGCTCTACTTACTAGTGTGTTTTTGTAAGCCTTTTTGCTCTGTTTTATGAAGGGGGAAGGTTGAATGAGTTACCAGTTGGGTATGTGTTCACCCACTTTCATAGTGTCGAACCTCTGAAGAAAATTGTTGGCATGGGAACCTTCCCCAAGAGGTTGACATTTAAAATAATACGCTGTGCCAAGCATAAAGTCACTCCTCAAGTCTATCTCTACCATGCCCCCATTTTTGTTGTGAAATAAAACATTAACATTATCGGATTTACAGATATATGCAGCAAGAAGTTCTTCTATGTTTTTGAGGTTACGACTAACCAAAGATAAAACCCAGGCATGTAAAGGCATTGAGCACCTCTTTCCTTGCTTTTCTCTCCCAAGATGTCTCTGCAGAGCTGGGTACGCGCCTTCCACCAGTTTAATTAGTCATTCAACTCCCTGCTCTGCTTCCTTGTTCTTCCTGGTGGACTGGTGACACACACAAGCATTTGAAAAATCAGGCAGAGATCTCCAGACTTTGTTACAGCTATTTAATTATCAGATTATAGATAAGTAAGTGCTTTCAGGTACTCTTGGTACCTTCCAGAGGTAGCAGCATAACAGTAAACCAGGCCAGGATCTGTCTTAACTTCTAGTAAATGGTCTGATCAATGCCAGCTCTTAATCAAGAGAGCCAGCAGCTTGCCCTGTTCTCAAGTTGTGCCTATCACAGTAGTGACATACCAGAGATTATTTTTGCTGTTATTGTGTTTATTCCTACAAATAAAAAGACAAATATGGCATGGAGTTATAAAATAGGTGTGGAAAAAGTCACAAAAAGTACCTTCATGTCACTTTTGAACTACAAGTCACCTACTTTAAATAAGAAAATCCTATTGACACTACTAAGGAGTGAATAGTTGGTGATCCTACAGCTTTCTAATGTTGTGTCTGATCTCTACCTGATCACTCCATACTTACAGTTGGCATATCGGGTGAATGAAAGGAACATTCAAAAGTAAAGGAAATCACATGGTTTCACAAACCCTGGACTCCTGTATACTACCACATCTAGATTCTGCATAATGGCTTTGTACTCTTCTTCAGTATGTGGAGTATAGTTTCCTTCCTTCTCCTGATTTTTGAATCAAACCCTCTCCTTCAACTGCTTTTTCCCTTAAAGAAAAGGAATAAAAATAATAGCAGTGATGATGAGAGTAATTATTAATTACTTGCATTTTAAAGCACTGACTCACTCCTGTAATGCAGTTAACAGTCTGTAGAAGACACAGAACTCCTTTCTATTTTAAAGAATTGTTGGGATTGCTGTCCTTGCTTAGAGGACATGCCAGTACAACTCTCTGACATCCCATGGAGCAGACAGAGGCTGAGGGGGTGTGTGGTCAGCCTGAACTCGTGTAGTGGGAGTTGCAGCTTTGCCAGGTCCTGCCATGGGTGATTTGGAAATTCTTGCTCTGCTACCAGGAAAGGGAGTGGGAGGGTGAAAACATGACTGTAGGCTTGGGGTTACAAGGACTTACAGAGTTTTTATCTGCCATACAGTGCACTCAGTGACTTTGCATTTCTGCAATCCTTTTCCCTTCATTAGTCATATCCCTTCGTTGACCCATCATTAACCACTTGCCATCATTAGCTGCACTGTTGGTTCTGACCCTGTTTCAGAGTTCAGGCATTAGATAATGAGAGCCTTCCCAGCTTGCTTAGCTTTGGGTCATTTCTGAGCAACACGAAGTACCTAGAAGAAAAAAGTAAAAAATAAGAGAAGACATCTTTCTGAGATGAATCATGGAAAGGGTAAAGCCTCACAAGAATGGACCATTCTTGGACAAAATATAGTGTACCATATCCACTGTGCATTATGGGGAGTATGAGGGAGGTGGTGCCATTTCTTCATGCATAGACCCAAGACAATTAATCAAACGTACAAAGGAATGTTCTGACTACTCATTGATTACAAAATGACAATATGATAATCCTGATTAAAAATTGTAAACATACTCTCTAAATTCAGCCTAATGTTTCCAAGCAAAACCACCCAAATCATTCCCATTTCTATGGAGATTAAATCACACACCTTGGTCACATACCTTCCCCCCAAGTGGAATTTCCCATGACAGACATGATGACATCTTACAGTTCTTATTGTCTGGAACAGTGCTATGGAGAGAGAGAATGAGTTGCCTGTAAATCTAAACAGCTCAGGAGCCAAACCCCTTTGACGTTTTGTATTTTTCAGTTCCCCTGAGTTTGTTGATCTGTGTCAAATTTGGAAAGGTTGTGCCTTGCACTGCTGTGATAAAGGGCATTTCAACTGAGATCTGATGTTTCCTCAAAGAACTGGATGTGTGAGCTGGAAAGTCCCTAATCAGCGGCTGTTTCTCTGGTTTAGTCTCACAAAAAAAAAAAAAAAAAAGAGAGGACAGGTTTGGTCTATGTCTTGTCAGCTTTTCTGCCAGACATGAGCAGCTAAGAAGGAGCAGGGCCTGCACTCAGCTGGCTCAGTCAAAATCTAGGGGTGAACCTAGGAACCTCACCTCCCTATCTGGACTCTGAGATCAGCCCAGGAGAGATGGACAAGCCATGGTGAGGACTCAGTTTTTATTTCCTGATTTTTTGTCCCATCACGATAAAGGTGGATGGGTTACAGGTCTCTGCCAGCAGCAATACAAGGCATGGGCTTGACTGTATTCAGGAAGAGATTGCCTTCTAGCATCATACTCCAGGTTGAACTACCAGTTCCTGAAGGAGTGTGCTGAGAGGATAGACCTTAAAATACTCATGAAATATTTCTAAAATTCATAATTATTTGACCTGTGCAAATTGTTGGACTCTAGTCTGCTTTAATTTAAAAATACCTCTTTTTTTTATTATTGTTTTTTGTACTTTGAACCCCAAGAATTTCACAGAGGCTATGAGCTCCTGCAGAAGTGTGGGCTTCTCTCTGCCTGGTTGGGTTGCTCTGTGTTTCACCCCTAGGTCCTCCTGGGCAGTTCATTCTCCCAAGACTCTCTTCTGGAGCAAGCCTGATTTTTGCCCTGAAAAGGAAAGCTGGTTATGAACCCAGAGAGAGGAAATCACCCGGGCTAAACCTGGCTTTGCTTGGGAGAACCCTTTCCGTGCAGCACTGCATGTAAAACAATAAAACCATAGTGTAATGGGTATAAACTTACATGAGGATTAGTCCATCTAGACATGATATTTAGCAAAGCTGCAAGCACAGATGTCTTTTTATTCCTAATCTAGCTAAGCCGAAATGACATAAAACATTGAACAAACGTAATGCTCAGGCACAGAGATACCCATTAAAGGAGGGCTTATATGATTGCAATTTAATTATTCTTCTACTGACGTGAATTCATATATGGAATAACGTGACTGGCTCACGCCAATCCGAGAATCGAGATCTGGCGCTCCATACCCGTCTTCAAGGTGGGTGGAGGGTCATATTTTTTAGTGCCAGCAGATGGCATCCATACGCTTCGGGATTCCCTGCTCCGCACTCCCAATGCAGCATCTTCCCCCTCGACAGACCGAGTCCCTCACATGAGAATATCTCCCAAATTGGTAACGAACTTTGTTTTTATAAGGGTAGGAGTATTTCCTGTACCTTGTCCAACCTGATAAATTACTGGACTGTGAGTATTAGATCTATTATCCCAGAGATTAAAACTGAAGTCAAATTTCACAGAAATTAACTACTATGTACAATCTGTCATTTCCAAAACACTTTGGTGAAAGCTGGGAGGTTTTCAAGCAGCTGCTATCTCTTTCATATGAACTTTTCAAAGCTATTTAATTATTCTGAGTTCCTTGGATTGAGCAAAGCATACACGTTATCTAGAAACCTAAAGATTTTACAAACTGAATAACTGCTGCATTTATTGAGGATTACCATGGACAGTTTGCTTGGAGGAAAACAGCACCAAAGCACATTAGAAGCAGTTTTTCAAGAGACCAGAAAGACACTACTATGTTCCCAGTTTTTCAAGGTTCACAGACAATACTAGGAAATAGCTGAGGTTTGACTGTCCAGTCATTTCAGCTTGCATAGCAATGAACTTCAACAGGAGGAATTAAATATTAAAACAATTCTGGCATGACAAGGACTGCTGATAACATACTAGAAAGCAAAATAATTGGTAAGCCTCACAGAAACCAACCAACCAGATACCAAAGGACAAACTGAGTATTTGAAACACTCATAAATGTAATATGAGCATATATTACTTCTGCCCTCTGTGCATCTTCTAAAGAACACAGTAAGAGGGAAGACCCAAGTTCTACAGTAATACTGGACTGAAATTATTCCTAATCTCTTTGGGAGTGAAGATTTTATTAACTTCAGTGCGTTCAAGACTAGGCTGTATGTGAGCTGACAAATTCAAATGCCAGACTGAAAGAAAATAAAAGCTCCCTCAAACTTGCTGAAGATATTAATTGGTAAACCCATTGTTACTGTAAAAGCTCTAAGAGAAAAACCTGTGATGGAACTGACACTGAACGGTGCAATACTGGTGTATAGAGCTAGATGGCTGCAATGATGCACGAAGAACGTCCCGATTTGCTAATTCACTGTGGATGCTACTTTTGTTTTATACTTTGCTTCGTGTAAAACAATAATTTCTATCTTCATTTTCTTGACATTTTTATTAGGTACAAACTCCATCTGCTTTTGTCATCTGATTCTTCTAAATAAAGTTAATTGGCTTTAAGATTTGCATCAAATGACTTTGAGCAACGACAATTTTAAGCCAAGACTATTTCATTTTTAAGTAAAACATTCAGACTGTATTTCTTCTACATAGCTACTTCTTCAACTAGAAAATACAGGAAGAAGTTAAAAAAAATTAAGGTAACTACACATATTTAGAGAAATTTTTAAAACAAATTTTCTGGCAGGCAACCTGTTTTTACCGTCATTACCTTTCAGAATATTATCTCTCAGGAACTCTCTCATTACCTTAGGCAGTAAATTGGCACAAAGAAAAACTTAACAAAAAGATAAGCAAAGCGTTGGCGGGCGTGGGAGGGAGAACACATCTTAGTAGCTTACACAGGCATTTCAGAAATTTTTTGGGGGGAAGGGGCGTGTTCTGTGTTAGTTTAAAAGATTAAAGTTTGCAATCTGCACTGAGAGGAGAGTTCTTGCTAAAGTCTGTATACCAAAGCTGGCTGTGAATTGAAGAACTGTTGTAATTAGATTACTGTAAATACAATAAGAAACTCACTCCTGGTGGTCTGGGGAGGGGTGTCATAGGGCACTAGAGAATTGTGTTGGCAGGATTTGGGACAGTTTGACTGAAAGCAGAGAACACAATCTCGAAATCCTTTTAATCTTCCCCCCTTCCCCAGTTCTTTGGGGATTTGTTTGTCATTAAGTAACAGTCAAAAGATTAAGGAAGTATAAAATGACATTAAAGCTCACAAGAACTTCTATAAAATTATCAGTGCTAGTGTAGTCTTCAGCAGGGCTTGCTTCTGCCAAGACTTTCTAGAGCCAGGCAAAATTAAAAGAAAAGAGGCAGGCAGGCACAAAAGCAAGCCCCGTGGACGTGGGCTGGAATACCACTTTTCCTGCTAGCGCTTCGAACGCGGAGCCTCGCAAAGCGCGGAGGCTGTTGCTATGTGTCTGGGCTCAACAAGCTTAAACTTTGCATGGCCCATGCTAAACTAATTTGAGTCAATTTGTCTACATCATTTCAACAATCGTTCTGTGCATTTTGAATCGTACATACAACACTGCATGATAAAGGCCCACCGAGCAGATGCCGACTGCTCATTCTGCCGTGGTCTGGCTGTTGCTAGTTCTTCACCATGGTTTCTCCATATCCTAGTGACAATGTTAGTTTTTCGATGGTGAGGTTAAGTCTGTGCCTGGCTAGTTAAGACTTTTCTTTACAGAGGACAGATCCTATAACAACTGCCAGCTTTAAGCATGACCTTTAAAAATGAAATGAGGGAGTGTTAACTGGAGTATTTTTTTTTGTTTGTTTTTAATCTCCCAAGGGAGTTCAAAGGAATACAAGGAGGTTTTGCAAGTAAAGTTTTAAGCCTGCACGAAAAGGAGACACCAATATCAGAAGCTGTTATCATAGGACAGCTGATCTAACCTGCTTACAGTTAAATAGTTTCAGTGTAATGGATTTTGTCTCATTTGTAAACATGTACTTTTTAAGACAGTTTAATTTTTGAAACTGAAATTGAGAAAAGAAAAAAGAATTAAGGCAACTCCACTCTATGCCTAGGTAATGTAACAGGGCTGATCTGCAGTTGGTGCAAATCAGTATAGCTGCAGAGAGAATTAGCTGCATTATCCCGTTTTCTACCAGCTAAGGACTTAGTCTTTGAGAACATCATATTTGGAGAACTCCAGTATTTCATGAGTAAAAGAGGAAGAAGTAGCAGTAAAAAATATACCACATTCTCATGTGTGATAAATCCCTGCAAGAGGCATTAAAATCCATGTGTTCTGGAGGGAGAGAAAGCCTATAATTAACGTTTTTATTATTCTTACATTGGCTTGATAATTCCTCTGCAAGCCTCTGCTGAAAAAGGATTACCTGGTGAGTCTTCCCAATTTGGAGTCCTAGTAACTCCAGGGACAGGGTGGTTGTTTTTCTCTCTCTCTGACAAACTACTGAGCATTTTTTGCTAGACCCGCTTAATGTGGCAGCCATTTTCCTACAGCAAACTTTGAGATAATTTTCAGTTTTAACTGTGTTTCCAAAGCAACGTAACTCTGCCCAAATTGTCAGAGTTGGTATTAAACTTTACTGGTTTAGGGGTTTTTTCCCCCATTTTTATAAAAACAAACAAACAAACAAGCCCTCCTAAGATATTTAGGGTAGCCTCTCTGTGTTAACCAGAATTTTATTCTGATGAGAAATAAACAAGGATATCTTGCCTAAGGAGTCAATTTTTTCCTGTCACCAGAAAAATGTCAGTGAAAATCTTTCTGTGAGGTCCATGTTTTGGGATGCAGAGGCTTCTTTTTTTTTTTTTTTTTTAGTGTTTGCTCTCCAGATGATAAAACCAGAGAGATGGGAAACACGGATAGCTCTGAAAAAGAGCTCAGTGGCTCTTTTTAAAATCCACATCCTCCAGACGTGCGCTCATTGCATTTTGATTTGAATTTTAGGGCTCAAAATAAAGTTCAGTACTTTATTCAAATTCAAATGAACTGTGCTACACTCTGGCAGCCTCTAAGGCTGTGGCAGGCCTGCAACCCCTCAGAAAGTGGAGGGGGCAGCTAGAGCTTGCAGACTAAATCCTGGCTGCCCAAGGACAAAGATATTCTAAAATCTCTCTTTTCAAGCAAGCTGAGCAGAGCAAAGGTGCACATGAAGATCCGAGATGTTCCTTCCTGCAGTCCTACAGCTAATAAAAATGTGGCAGAGAGCTGTGCATTAGAAAAGCTGGGTCTGAGTTTGGGCTATAGGAGTGTGACAGCATTACGGTAGTTCCTGAATTTTGATGGACACACTGGATGTAGATACTGGGCTAGAGAGCTGAGCTCCCCTAGGAGATCCAAGGGAACAGAGTATCTGCCGCTGTCTATAGGGTCAGTCACTCAAATAAAAGCAAGCTGATTGCGGAAGGGGTTACCAAGAGACTTTGAAAGACAGTAGCAGGGATAAATCTGAATGTAAACAACATGTGTTTATAAGATAAATGTGGGAGATGGTGACTGTCTAAAGTTAGAAAAGGAGCTGGGTACTTCAAGTTGCACATCTCCACCCAAAGGGCCACCTGCAGCTCTGGCCTGAGACTTGACTCCCTTTGTAAAGCCTCTGGAAATTGCAAAAGACGGAAATCTACTTCCTTTTTTGAAGAGGGGTAACTGAAGTGAGAAAGCTATGTCATATCCCACACTCTCCTGGGCATGGGTGCCATGACAGGTACAACTGGTCTCATGGTAGAGCAGTATTGCCCACCCATGAGGCCACTTTTGGTCCCACATGTACGATGCAGTTCAGCACAGGAAGCCTCCATCCAGAGAGATATCCTCCTAAAACAGGTGTTTTTCTTTCAAAATATTACTTAATAAACAATTTACCCTTCTCAATAAGCACTCCCTTTCAGACCACCGATACTCCTGGTATCGGTAAAGATGTTCATGTCAGTAATTAAAAAAGTCATCTGAGCATCCATCACCTCTAAGAACTACCTGGGGAAGAATTTTACCTTATTTATGATGCTGTTTAACCCACCTTGATTTCCCAGCCAGTAGATACCAGAGAGGAGAGCAAAAGCAGACTAATATAGCAGGAGTTAGTTATTAATTATCAACCCACAAATTATGCAACATCCATAAAACTTGTTGAGGTGAAGATGTCTGGTCTTTGGTGCTCTGCTGGGGAGCCTGCAGGACCCGAATCATTCTGTTCCTGACTTACCCCTCCTGATGTGGGAACAGTCACAAACATCAGGACAGAAAAGGCAAAAATTTGCCAAATTTTTTTCTGAAATGAAAGAGATCCCCATAGGGGGCCATGGGCCGCCAAAGCCAGTCTCGAACAGTGCTTTGTTCCAGCAGCTCCAGTGGGAACAGCCCTGTGAGAGTGCCAGGGCAGCTCTGGCCTTGCGCTCTGCTATGGGCATCAGCCTCTTCAGCAGGCTGGGATTACAAAATGTGACAGGGAACATCTATCCCTAGTAAAGAATTTAAAAGTAAGGGGCTAAGACCAAACAAGATTAAAGGCACAGGTCTTTGTTTCTTAGTTTCTTAACAGAGATGCAGCTGATGGAGGCACCTAAAAGAGATTTTTCAAGCATTTTATATGGATGTGATAAGAGCAGCCAGGGTTGGGTCATGCATGGACATGGAGGTCCTCAGCTTGGTAAGTGACCTGAGAGGAGACACAAGATCCCCAGGCCAAAAATGCTTTTGACCTGGGGCAGCCCACCATGGCCACTGAAGCAGGAAGATCACATCTTGTCCAAGACACTGAGATTTTTGCCACGAGCAAAGATTTCAGCAGCAAGCTCTCCCTGTAGCATGGCAAGGCTAAGATTTATGCTGTAAGCAAGTTCTAAGTTGTTTTCTGCCAGTGTTGCAGCCAGCTTGCTGCAGGCCAGGCTGCCACTGTGAGGTCACAGGGAGATTTGGAGCTGGGATGAGGGAGAGAAATGAGGGCAGCCCTAAGCCTAAAAAGTGCAGCCACCTTACCCCAGGGCTGATGTTGAAGTTTCTGGTGAGGAAGCACTCCTGGCTGAGAGAAAATCATCCATCCATTGGGCATCTCAGCTGTCCACTGTGTGAAGCAGTGGCAGGAGCCTTGTAGGAGCCCCTGGTGCAGGTCTTCATGGGAGAGGTGGTCCAGTACCAAAAGAAAATGGATGTCAGCCCTTGGGCTGCAGTGCTTTGGATGTATGATGGTCACAGAAAAAAGTGGAGATGGTTCCCTTTTCTGTCAAAAAATGAAAACATGATGAGCATCTATGAAAAAGGAACTGATTTTCATGGGATATTACTCTTCTAAATGAAAATGCCTACTCTAGAGCTCTCACAGAAAATGGTTTTTTTAATCAGAATTGTCCTTACCCTACCTTGTACCTTCACTGTGACACCCATGATAAGTAGCAACTTGTTACACATCAGGAACAGGTGCTGCTGTTTGGGGTAAACAGTTCCCAGAATCTGGTTTTATAAACCAACGATTTAACCTGTTGGTACCATTCCCTTTTTGTCATACAATGAGCATAAAGCCATGCAGTTCTTGCACAATAAGGCTAGGATTTTTTATGCTTTTTAAGATGCTTGGGCCTGGGCTAAATGTTATGCTGCACCTTATCTGGGGAGCAAAGCACTCCTAACTCTTCACAGGACTCGCAGAACAAACCTCTTGCATTGAAAATTCCCAACTAACCAAAGAATTGCTTTTGCAGTTGGTGACAGTCAAAGCCAAGAAGCAAAACAAGGTGGGAGACTCCAGTAAATGGCCTGCGTTTACTGCTGAGTGTGTGAAGGAAGATAGGGGAAGGATGGTGGTGCTTTGAGGCTGCTGAAAGGGAAAGGGCCAGTATTTTTTCCCCAAATGGTCAAAGCCAGGGGCTTCTACTGGCCACTGCCTTGTCCTGTCCAACAGTTTAAGTCACTTTTTAGAAAAAATATATTTGTTGAGTTTGAAATTCCCCTTGGCATTTCTTGCTCTCAATGTTAAGTTTTGGCAGGGTGTGATGCTGTTCCCAAGTGCTGGACAGAACGTGTCCAGCACACTACAGCAAATGTGTTCTCTGTGCTACATGCTGAGCACCAAGGCTGGTCTTGTTAATGCACACAACCCCTCACATTTGAGCTGTGTAAACTGCTTCTAACAACTCCTTTCCTTTCTTTGTTCAAACAAACAATGGCCTTTGGAAATTTATTTTAGTGCTGCCAAGACAAAAATGTTGTCTAATTTAACAAATTAATAGTTCTCCCTTCCAATTCCTCTTTAGCTTCACATGTATATTACTTAACAGCTGATCTACATACCTATCAAATTCTTGCTCCTCTGAAAGAATACAAGTGACCCCTTGCTTGTACAGCAGATTAGGAGAGGGAAAGGGGGATATGGCTCCTCTCTCCATTTTCATCTTGCCATGCAAAGAAAGAATACTTTGGTTTTCTACAGACCTGTTTGCTGGCTTTCTTGGCCATGACACAGCAAATTTGGAGCTGCTTCTGGGAAGACCTTTGTGATAAAGAATGCAACACACAAAGCATATTTGCATCAACAAACCCTGTTAGGAGAATAAATTACAAAGGCACTTTGTATCATTTGACTTTAAAGTTACTCCATTCCATTTTTGGCTTGGACCTCAAATGTCACCAGCGCAGGAGCACTTCACTTCCCAGAGGACCAACATGCCGAGGCATGTGCCCAGGCTGCAGTGAGGTTAACCTGCTCTCACCTGGTGAGGCCTCATCAGCTGTCAATACTGCTCATGGCCTCTGAGCTGGCTCCTGGGGATGAAGGTAGGCAGTAGGGGATGATAGTGCTGGTCTGGCTGAATAAGATCTCTGCTTGTCTGGAGGGGATAAAACCCCAAAGGTTATTAGGGAATTAACAACCTGAATAGAGAAGATAGGCAGCCCAGCTCAGTTTGGTGAGACCTGGTTGCCTTGAATATGGAGCCTGCATGGCTGCAGAGGCTTCTTAATGGTGGGTCAGGAAAGCTTGCATCTTCCCTGGCTTTACAAAAATTACCTGTGAGGCTGAGGGCAGTAGAAAGCATCAGCTGAGCTGAGGTATTTCAGGTATTACTAGCCTTGACAGCATGAAAAGGCATCTAGGCGGAACCAGAGAGCAGGCAGCGTTGGGGGAGCTTGGTACAGATGGCACTTCAGCAGCTGAACTGCAGAGTTTTCCTTATCCTTTCTTTTTTGCCTCTCCAGCTTCTCTTCAGTCTCAGGCTAACTCCTGAATTCATTCAGCCTCATTCCCCAAATTCTCAGATCTACAGAAGGCATTTTCCAAGGCTTCTGCCATTTTTAATTTTAGAAAAGGACTTTTGAATAAATAAAACCATGAAATAACAGTAGAGGCTATACAGTAGGACCTACCATGACAAATTACAAATAAACTGAAAACATTTAACTTTGAGAACAAATACCCCCATCACACACACCCTCCCTCCACTCTGCAAAAGGCAGCATTAGAAACATTCTTGTATTTAGGTAAAAATGTGAGGCCTAAGCAGTTAAAAGGCAATGTGCTCTAAAGCTTCCCTAATCTATTTTCCTCCAATTCTTTCCACCCCTAAGAAGCTTGTGGAGTTAGTTGCCGATTAACATTCAGGAAGATTGTACTCTGTCTCCAGTTCATTGCTCTCTTGTTGGCTTATTGTTATTCAGAGCCCATTTATTGTAGATGAGCCATTCATTTTCCTCTAATTGGATGGGATTGGATTTCACTTTCATTGTTGGATGCATTGAAAACCCTGGAGGGGCTACAGGGATCAGCCCAGGGCTGGGGAGATTTAACTTAGCACAAAGTTTAGATTGCAGCTGAAAGAAGATGCGAATTAAATTTTTTTTTTCCATGCAGATGCTTCATGGCTAGATTTGCAAGGTCTCCCTTGTAATCCCAAACACCTTATTGCATAACATACTTCTGGTATTTTTATATAGTTCTTCACCAAAGCACTCATGACATGGGGGTTGTTAGGAAGATTTCTGAGCATCAGAAACCCAGCAAGGACTTTGCACCAATGTCCCTCCTGTCAGGATCCAACTGGCTTTCTGACTCTTGGATTAAATCCTTTAACAGTTCTGGGATCCTGCACTGTAGCATCCTCCCCGCAAATCGGCTGATTCCTTTAGGGCAATGTAAGGGTCTGCAAGCAGAAGGTATTTTGCAGATGCACTCTTCAGTTATCCACACCACAAATTGTTCCAGCAGCTGCTCTGTCCCCATCTAAGGGTAAGTTGAGGGCAGATGAGCCTGCCCGGTGCTGAACCACAGCCTGATTTTGTGATAGAGACACAAGTCTGGACCAAATCTCTCTCATCCATCTCATAGCCCTCTCCAAAGTGTTGGCAGCAGAGCCAAAAATGCTCAGGGGCACCCACATGTGTGCGCGCGTATCACTCAGGTGATGACTTGCTGTGCTGCATGGGAGCTCCCTTCCCAGTCGGAAACATGGAATGGCCATGGTCACGGTGTGGGCAGGGGTGGCACAGTCATTCCAGGCTCCTTAACTGTAGCATATCTCACCTCACGAGGCAGTTCTGAGATAGCAGGGAGACAAAACAGCCCTCCCTTTTCACCTGGAAAAATACATCTGCTGAGAGCAGGTCTCAGGATTTACCTACCTGTATTAAAGGCAATATTAAAATTAAACTCAAAGATTTAATTGTCTGGAAAATAGATGTCTGATCCACTGCAGTTTCTCTGGAGTCACTGTAGAGACAGGCACTCCTGGAGAATGACTGATGCCTCCCAGGATGGGTCTCACAGGTGGGATGACCTGCTCTCTAGAGTGAAGATGCAAGGAGACATCTACCTTAGATGCATCCCTGAGCTCTAGCACATCCCCTAAATGTCCTGTAAGCATCCCTAAACTCACCTCTAAACATCATCTGGCAAGGTAAAGCCAGGGGCTTTGTGGGAGAGGAGGGAGAGGGAGAGGAAAAGGAGCAGGAAGGAAGCACGGCAAAACTACTGCAGTGTGTTGGAAGGGTTAACATCTGGCCTCCTGCAGATGTTTGTCTGATGGGAACCTGGGGGCTGGCTGAGCTGGGGTATTTACATGGGAAATTCTCCAGCAAACTGCAAGCACGTACTGGAGCCTTTTCCTTCAAGGGGGCCTATTTTGCACCTCTCTTTTCTTCAAGGGTACAGATTTTCATTAAACATGGCAGTGGTGTGTCTCTGACACCTTTACTGTGCTGACAGATGTGTTTTAAACTGGAAATTGGGTTTAAAGCTACCAGAGGGAGCACAGGGAAAGGACAGAAACACATGTGAATCTCCACACAGTGACAATGTTATTAGCAGGATGAAACAATTATCAAAGGAACTGTTGAGAAAGACTCTCTGCTCATGCACATAAGAACCAGCAAAACCCATTTCCTACAAATCTGTGCCCAGGTCCTGATAGCACACAGGAAGATATCAGCTTGACCGCAAACCATTTGTCATGTTTTATAAAGGCAAAGGGCACACTTGAACCTTTCCCTCCCCTCTCCCTGCCTCCTTTAGCTAAATTTTAGGTGACTTGATATCTCTGAGAACCCATCACCCACATGCAGTGGAAGGAGACCAGCAGAAGAGCCTGGGAGGAAGGCAGAGGCACCCTCACACCTTGTGGGTTGAAAATAAGAGAATTAACACCAGTCCTAAAGGACTCTGGGTGAAACACAATATATTTTAAACTTTATCCATTAAAACTGATAGACCAAGCAATGAGGACAACATCCAAAAGTGCCTGAAACTAAAAATAAATATTAACAACAGGAGGCAAAATTTGATCAGTTCCTTGCCGGAATTTTTTGTTTAAAAGGACTGTGGGAGACACCATACCTGAAAGGCTTTGACATGAAGACCTGTATTACAAGTAACTGGTACAAAGCACAGATGATTTGAGAGTCTTCAGGCTCCCCACAGCCCATGAAACACCAATGGCAGCAGCAAGCATGGCTGTCCAGATTCAAAAGCCAGCTGACCAACTGAAGAGCTTCTGGTGGCAGCAAGCCCACCAGAGCTCTCAGTCTGTCACTTCAATGCCCAATTATGTACATAAAATAACATTTCAGGCTGTTTTTCAGCTCCATTAAATAAATAGAAGTTTTACATACCTTCTTCCTACAGAGATATTTGGTGGTTGCCAACCTCTGGCTCTTGGCAGTTCCTAGGGTCTCCAGGCCCCTGTTAAACAGTTCACAAATGATAATTTAACAAAGTAAGTCTATGAGCTCAACAGCCACTATCCCAGGCTTACATGTTCCCTGGAAAATTGTGGTGGTCTGCAAAGCAAAAATTACAAAAACCATCTGCTGTGGCTCCTACACAGCCCTCTCTCAGCCTTCCCCTGAGTGTTCTAAGCAGCACAATCGTAAATTACCTCACTGGGTTTTTGAGACCTCTGCAGATATGTGGGTTATGGGCATGGAAGCTGCCCACAGTCATGGTCTCACCAGCACTGTATGGAAGGGATCAGCTCCTTATGGCTAATGGCACTTTTGCAGAGATTATGCAGCCACTCTGTAACTCATTGGCTTTGACTGTCACACACCATCTTTGTGCTATCTCCAGCCCTTTCAGGCTGTTTTCCAAATCGTGAATACAGACATTGAGTGTCCCCAGGGCCACAGACTTTCCAGGAACCTGTTGAATGTTTTCCAGAGGACAATGTTCTCCAACAGCAGTTACAGCTCAGATACTGCTGAGCTACTTACAGTCATGCTACATGCACCACACCAACTTTAGCATTGCTTTTTCTCATAGCATTACTTCTTACTTTTAACAGGGACCATGTCTTTCCACCTTTAACCCAGCTTCAGGAGAACCTTTGCCTGGCCACATGAGTGAACATATCATTTGTACCACACACACAGGGTGCACGTATTTTTCTCTTGTTTTTACCCATTTTTTTTCAACTATCACCCACAAAGAGGTAGTGGGACACACAATGAGTCACGGTCACAGGCAAGGAGTTTTGCTTCCCAAAGTCCCCAGTGTGGGTGGGGAATCTCTTAACTCTTTTGTCCTTGGGCGCAGCTATCTTTCAGTTTTTCCTCTTGCACATCAGCCATACCAAATTCCACTCTTTTCTAAAGAAAACCAAAACCAAACTGTTCATCCCACAGACACAGAATCACTGGGAGGTATTGACCTCTACTGGTACAAGGGCTTTACCAAGTGAAATCTAGCAGAAATAGTAAAAATTATGGCCTTTTAAAACTCTTTCGAATAATTACAAATGGAAATGAGCACTTTCTGTGCCATTTTAACCACCCACTGTTTTAGTAAAAATTTGATATGACAGTTTCATTTAATTTCAGAATTTTTTTTTGATTTCCTGATTTTGCCTTGTCTTAGGTTACTTCATTTTTCCTTCCTCCTATTCTTGGAGAATTTGCAGAGGTTAAAAAGAATACACATATGCAAAAATTGGGAAACTGAGAAAACAGATAACCCTTTTTTCCATCTGACAAACTTTTCCAGATATTCTTGAATCGGAGCAAGCAAGCAATTAGGCAAAAAAGGCCTTGAGTGAAAAATAATAAAAAAAAAAGGTGATGCAAGTCAAGAATGACAGAAGTGGGAAAGTGAAAGAGAAGACCTTCAGAATGATTCCTGAAAGCAGGACATCCCACCTCAGACTGTCTCCTCACCCTCCAAATGCAGAAGCAGAGATTATATGCAGGTTGACCAGCTCTCCTGGCCTCACCTGCTGTCAAACTTTTATTTCCCAGAAAGCCTCTTTCCAGACCCAAAACAGGTAGCAGGAGTGTCTGGGTCCTTGTTCTTACCAGGGGATACAGGAGCTTTGGTGGCACTGATGCAGCCTTACCCATACTCTCAGCATACGTCCAGGAGACAAGACTACTTACAAAGCCTAAGGCTGGGAAAAACTGTCCTAATCTTCCATAATTGTCCAAGACATGACAATGAACAAATGGCTCCCTGTCACTTGTTATTTTATTATGAGTTTGCTTCCATGCAAACAAGCTGTCTCATGACCTGGGGCATGAAAACCACCTGATTATTGCAGGTTTGCACTGAATACTACTGTTTCCTCACTGCATTAATTCAAGTTCCCCATCCCTACATCCCTTACAACCCTATTACTCCTCTCGCTGTACCTCAGGAATGGCCCCAAGCCATTCCATGGTGTGCCCAAGTTCCCCATGACCAGCCAGGCAGGACCTGCTGCAGCCCCTCACAGGGACAACCCAGGGGTTTGTGCCTCCGAGCTGGGCATTTAAGGAGCCATCTCTATCTGAAGCATTGTACTGGGTCCTAACACGCATTGCTGTGAAAACAAAAAGAAAGACCATTAGTTAACAAGTAGCAAAAGCACCAGGGTCCCAGCTGTGTACATCCTTGGGGTCTGCCATCTCTGGAATCAATCCAGCTGCAGCACAGCTGGGGTGGCAAGGACAGGCCCACCATGACCTGCAGGGCTTCCCGACAGCAATGGTGCTGCCTCTCCCTCTGCCCTCCCCAGCCTACTGAGGCACAGCTCCCGCTGGCTGTCCCCACTGCAGAGCTTGGGGAGAGTGGCCGGTCTCTGCTGGCCTCCCAGGCCAGGTGCAGGTGGGCACGAAGGGCCGTGCCTGCCACGTCGTGTGGGCCCAGCTCACTGCGGGTAATGGAATGAGGCCTGACAGGGCTACCAGGACGTAAAATGGCATTCCCTCCTATGGCTGCTGTCCCCAGGAAGGGGAGAAGCATTACTGTTTTTCTTTTCGTGGTGCCTCCCAAAGTCCAGAGAAGCTCACACCAGAGCAGCCCTGGGGTAAAAAACCCCTTAAAGTGGGGTGCACAGGGAGCGAAGCTGCCGGGCACTGCTGAGATGGGCAGAAGCCCTGGGGGTAGCCTAGCCCAGATCCCCAAGGAGCGACATCCACCATCACCCCACTGGCCATTTTGTCCCAGTCCTATTGCTTTGTTATGAGTAATTCCAGCTCCCCTTTTCCCTCTGCTGTGCACAAAGCAGCCTGGTCCCCAAAAGGCAGCGGCATGTAAAAGTTGTCGCATCTCCATTAAACTGTACGCGCTCCGCCCGCTGGCGGTAATGCACTTCAGATAATTCGTTGACGCAATATATTTTCCAGGATAGGCTTTTGTTTTCTTTCTTGGCTGCTCACCCTCTTTCTGTGGTCAGTTTTGCTCATTTCTCTTGTAAGCTGTCTAGAGGCAGAGAAAAGGCTTTCAGTTTTAAGCAGTTTCCTTTTCAGTTCCCCTTTATTGAATTCCAACCTCCATTTTTTTTTTTTTAAGCATAGGGACATCATTTATCTTGGACTTTAGGTTGCAGGGGCCTTCAAGGGGCTTCTTTTTTTCTTTCCCAGCTGCATTTGTTGACACACAGTCAATCTGTTTTTTGCCTTCGTTCCCCCTCTTCCCCCCAGCAGGCCATAAAGTATCGACAGCTGTGCCCTTTATTAGCATAGCCATTTTAAGCACAACAAGGGGGAAGAGACTAAATATATTACAGCCATTACCTCTGTCAAAAAGTGACAATTTTAAAACATTTTAGCTTTTCACTGGGAAAGCCAGCAGCACAAAAGAAAGTGCTATAATTTTATTGTAAATGCTTTTTAAATATGGGTCACTTGGCCATAATCAATAGAAAGGATGGAAAAGTTCAAAGCTTGAGAACAGTTCAGGCAGATAGCAGAATTTTTTTTTTTAAAGCCTTGTCTTTAAAATATGCTAATTGGGGCAAAAATACAACAGTGAGAAGCATGCAAAATAAGATCTTGTTCCTGGCGGTTTTGTTTTCTGTACAGCTCTGTTCATGCTTTTCCCATCTACTTATAAGTGTGTTTTACAACTTGGATGGGAATTACTCCTCCCCAACAGGGTGTTATGAACATTTGGGGACTGAGAAAACAGGAGGGAATCCAGACAGTTACTACTCTCTTCTCAAAAAGGAAAAAAACTCTAATAAACTACTGCTTTTTTTCAAATGCCTTTGGAAGTGTGATATGCCACAGCACTGTGATTTACCAGGCAAGATCACTTCTTGAGCAAAAAATAATCCTGAAGCCTGAGAATTATTGTAGTTTAGGTTTAGGTTTGAATTCTTACACTTGCTGGCTTTTATACAGCAGAAATTTTTATTTTAAGCTTCCAGAATGAGAACTGGCCTTTTTGATTAGAAAAGTACTAACACCCACAGTCAGTATCTGTTATGAGCTCTAAAAGGTAAAAGAGGGCTAATGGATGCCCTGAAGCTTTTGGATCTTGGCTGCTTTTGTTTTAATTTGTAATGGGTTTATCAGGCAAAGAGGAAGGGGCAACCTCAGCAGCATTTATTTTGAATGGCTTCACCTTCCTTTCCATTTGTAACATCTGGAATGAACTTAGAAGTCTTTTCTGTTGTCTGTCCCTCCCTAGTGACAATTTTTGCTTTTTAAATTTCAGAACATACATAAAACTTGGCTTATACAAATTCAAGTTGTTAAACAGGCTCCCAAAAGCAAAGCTGCTTTAAAGCCCATGAAACCCTGCACACAGTGTTGTACAGTACCTGCCAACTGTGTAATGCAGCTTTTGTCTTGTGGTGGCTCCTGGGGGTCTGTATCCCACTGCACTGAGCAGTCTCCAAATTTGCAGGAGAGAGCAAGCGAGCATCCTGCTGTGGGAAGAGTGTGGTCCATGGCAAAGTGGAAACTGGAAGGAATTCTCACCACCCATCTTTTGGCAATCAATTTAGCAGTTAAATGTAACCAGCTGGTCTCCCCAGGCTCCCTCTGTAGTCGAGGGAGGGAAAGCAAAGCTCCTGCAGAGGGTCATTCAGTGCACCCAAATTAGCCTTACTCTGAATTGTCCTCTCTCTCATCCGTGACTGGAAAAGGAGTTAGAAGAGACTACCCGGGTAATTTAGCCAGCTAGGATGGGTGGTCTGAATAATTCCTTCCCCACCAACCTCTAAAAGCCTTCCTAGGTACCCCACAGAGATTGGCATGCTGTTGGAGGGATCGATTCCCAAGCACATCAGCAGTTCAGTAATCTGTGCTCATGCCTACTCTAGATAAAGCTGGGATGCTCGAGGAACTTACCCAATCCTGTTGGACCCTGTAGCTCCCAGCCCGGACAGGGAGCTGACCATGTGTTGTCAAATGATGCTGTTGGACTGGTTGTGGCAATGGTCAGGTTTGGGTTTTACTTTTTTTTCCCGTACCTGTCAGACTCTATCTGCTGTCCTCAAGCCCAGACAGAAGCCATTGAGATGGAAGTAGCTGTAGGTTAGCCTGGCCCTCTGAGTTGTCTCATGGT